TAGACTTGTTCTTGGGCAAGAGGAGAACAAAAATCATCAAGTTCTCTTACCAATTTTTTAGGTGGAGGCGCTGGAGATAGCTAGGTTCATGTTCGACTGCAGAGGAGAAGAAAAACAGAGCAGACGCGAAAATGGCTGGGAAGAAAGAAGGAAAAAAGAAAAAGATAAGAAGGAATGAGTCAGCCGGCCTTATCCAAACACCTTTTAACCCCTTTAGAGTTTGGAAAACTAAAGGTTAGGTCCATTAATAATGTTTCTTCATCATTTAGTCCCTAACTCAACTTATATGCTCTAGGAAATTTTGGGGTATTACAAAAACTAAAAGAAAACCAATCAAAAGAAGTGTTGGAATACATAAAGTCAACACTCTCAAAGTCCTAATTAAAGTGGAGGCTCTCTATAAGAAGTTCGATAAATTGAATGTGACCGCCTTAGAAGTTTAGAATGTCCTTTGTGATTGGTGTGGAAGAGGACATGCAAGCACCAAATGTTAGGTTGGTAATTCTTTTATACAATCATATAAGAGTGCTAACTTTGTTGGTAATTTTAACAAGTAACGGAATAATTTCTACTCCAACACTTACAATCCTAGTCGAAAAAACCATCATAATTTCTCATGGAGTAACAATCAGAATATGGTATCCTCAAGGATTTCAATAATCACTTGAGAAAAAGTTAGATTTGGAGGTCTTCCTAAAAAAGTACATAGCTATTAATGAATCAAGGCTTGAAAATCTAAAAATAGCTACTAAGAGCTTAGAAGCAACAATCTAAAACCAAGGTGCATTAATACAAAATTTAGAGGTTTAAGTGGGTTAGTTGGTAAATGTGATTTTTGGAAGAAACGAAAGAGCTTTACCTAACAATACAAAGATAAATCCCAAACAGTAGATAAACACCATAACTTTGAGAAGTGGGAAACAAATTCAAAGAGTGCAAGACATGATGGGTGAATCAAAAGAGAAAAGGGAAGAAATTCCTAAGAAAGAAAAAGAAGTTCAAGAACTATTTAAGCCCAAAGAAGTCAAACCATATGTGCCTGTTGTTCTTTTTCCTTAGAGATTGAAGCAGTAGCAATACAATAAGGAATTTGGTAAATTTTTTGATATGCTTAAGAATTTGCACTTAACATTCCTCTTGCATATGCAATAGTTCATATGCCAAATTATACAAAATTCTTGAAGAGTAATTTGACAAATAGAGGAAATTGGAAGAGTTTACAACGATGAGACTAAATAAGGAGTGTTCAGCAATTTTATAAAACAAGCTTCCTCCTAAATTAAAGGATCTAAGAAATTTCACCATTCCTTGCACTGTTGGCAATCATCATTTTAATAAAGTTTTGTGTGATTTATGTAATACCCCAAAATTTCTAGAGCATTAAAGTGAGTTAGGGACCTAATTGTGAAGAAATACTACTAATGAACTTAATAGCAAATATTTTCAAAGTTCAAGGACTAAAAAGAAAGGAAATTAGGATAAGGATCAAGGCTGATATTTTTATCCTCAACCACGTGTTTTGCTCTTCATCTTCATTTTTCCTCTCCTCTTCTCCCCCGACAAGCCCCGCCCCCAAGCCACCGACTCTCTCCCTCTTGAAAACCCAGTGAGATCTTGATGAAATTTCTCTTCTTTTCTTGTTAAATCACAAGATTTGGGGCTTAGAATCTTCCCTCTCAACCCAAAAAATCTCGGTTCTGCTCTGTTCTTCTCCCCTGTTCGCCGGCTGCTATGGGGGTGTAAGATTTTGGAGCTTTTTCTGGTAAGATCTAGCCATGAATCCCTCTCTTTAACCTTGATTTAGGCTGGGTTTACCTTAATTGCTTTTATTTCCCTCAATTTTGAGGTAGCCCGTGAGCCCCTCTACAGAAATGCCGCCGGCTTCTTCTCCCTGCCAGCTCCGGTTTGCTTGCTGGAATTCTGGTAAGTTGCCGGGTCTTCTAAGTCCGATTTATCCATGTAGTTGTTGCCTTGTGTTGATTGGGTTTCTGCTTTTGAATTGCCCTTTTACTGTTCGAAACTTACTGGAAGTAGGGGATGAGTTGGCAGCCCTTAAATGTGTTTTGTTGTTTAAATTATGTGGAAATTACTTGAATTGGCTGCTGTGATGTTTTGTGTGAAAATCCCGTGTGTGTGAGTTGTGGTTTGCCAAAGCCATGCTCTCCTACCGGTGAGAAATGGGGAATTTTGGTAGATTAAGCTATGTTTTTAAGCTTAGTTTAAGTGTAAATTAGCTTGAATTGGGTTGTGGTGATTTTGGAGAAAAATCCTGTGAGATTAGCTATGGTTTTGCAAATTTGGAAGTTGAAGTTACTGTTCACATATACTGTTTATGGGTACTGTTCATAGGTACTGTTCACACACCAAGGGCTAATAATTAACGGGGATTTGAATGTTTAGTTTGTGATATAAGAATAAATTTGGGAATGTTCAGTTATGTGGAGATTGATAGAAATAGCACTTTGAAATTGTGGTAGTGAGGTATTAACTGTGGAATATTGTAATTAGGTTCCTGATCGTTCTGTCAATTTAACACTGAGATCGAGCCTTTGGTTTTAAGCGAGTGAGGTAAGTAAATTTATGGTAATGCCCACACTGTTTTTAAAAGATGTTTTGACTTGTTTTTGAAGTGGTGGCGGGACTAAACCCGTTTTATGCAAAAGTAAGTATGATTGATTTGAAGTGAAGTTTTATGCTTTTCATTAAATTGAGCATGCCTACTTGAAATTTAATTGATTGCCCCGATGATTTGAAAGTGATTAGTAAAGCATGATTTTCTGTTAACTTCTGCCTATTTTGTCTTCGATACGGTCATGTTATCCTGTTGCCCGCTAGTGGGAGGTCAAACGCTAGCACATGTCGACATGTTCCTGATAGAACTGGTTCATTCCTGTAATCCTACTAGTGGGAGTTAAACACTAGTAATTCCTGTTGCCTGCCA